GCGGTATTTAACCGAATGGGTAAAGTGAAAACTAAATCCTATAATAAAGTTCCTGTTGTCAGGGATGCTGGCACGTCGGAGGCGACAGTTCGCCCTATGGACGACGTGTGTCCGTGGGACGCGGTCCCAGGCCCCAGTATAGAACACGCCACGGGTTCCACGGGGGCCCCCCACCTAACGTCATCTGGAACAACGTTGTCGGTTGAAGGTCCACCCGAAGACAGCAGCAGCAGTTCGGTCGGGTTACTGCAATCTGTCGAAGTTGCACGGGCGTCCCGCAAAAATTCAACGACGCAACTGGATTCCTGTAGTTCTTCGTCTGATGTCAGCCTAGCAGTGACCGAGGTCTCTGAACACCTTCGAAAATCATGCTGTATGCAGCACAGCAGTAGTGTAGGTAAGCTTTCTAGAAAACTACCATTACATTACTATCTGTTTTTATATAAAACTACATATTTTTGAAGTAGGTGAAACTGATATATTAAATGAATATACAGTGGACTCTAATTATATTGCCATAGTCAAGGCTGTAGGAGAGTAAAATCGCAGTGAGTTTAGAGGCCCCTGCATGCTAAGTTCGAACGTTATAACCTCGGCCTCGGCGCCTGCACAAAAACTGGATCGTGCTAGTGCGCAGGCGTACACAACGTGGTGGTAGAGCGAATTTGTATGCTCCAAAATACGTGTGAAGGGGAAGTGTCTCGCGTGGCAATATAGTTAGAGTCTACTGTATGTATAGGGTGTTTAGCTACTGGTGTCAGGAACTTTCACTGCAAAGACCTATCCCATAGGCCGAATTTTGATAAGTCTTTGGGGAATTTTAACGAGTAAACAGGTTTAATATCGTACAACCATTCGTCTCAAGTGTCTTATGAAACTTTAGAAAAAAAAAACTATTTTCTAACAAACACTACTTCGTCTACGAAGTAGCCGGGCTCTTCTAAGCGAGGGTACGACACTGCCCGTGAATCAGCTGACCAACGCGCGTTCACAGTAGTCTAACCCGTCTGATCAGAAATTTTCTCCCGTATTTTCGACAATCAATAACTCAGAAACGAAGCATTTAACGCAGTTTTATTATTCTATACAATGTTGTAAATTGGCTTGGTTTAAGAGAATGTTAAATGAAACTACAAATACGCTAACTTTATAGTCGTATTTATTTTGGAATACAGGCGGCACAACAATGACGGAAAGAAGCGGTGGAAGCGGGTCCGAGATGATCGCTCGAAATTATTCAATCGGCTCTGCTTTTAGAAGAGTGAAGCTTGCAGAAATTGGTCGGCCATCTGCTTCGTCCTATAACGAGGAGCCTGAAAGTTATATTACGAAATCGAAGGTCTTGTCGTTCGACAGGGATCCAACGATGAGGTCTTCGGCCAAGGCTCCTGTAATAAGTATTAGTGCGATCGTGGGCGAGTTAGGGGAGAACACGGACGAAAGTTGCACCGCGATGGCAGAGGAAGAAGAGATAGCGGAAGACGCTACGAAAACGGAAGAGCCGGACACAGATAAAAGTAATTCGACGAACACTGCCGGGAAGGACTCGGCAAGTCCGGCTCAAGCGGAAACGGAAACCGCAGAGTTGCTGGAAGAGGCACAGGTGGTTCCTGTTTGGAAACCGGACACTCCACAGAGTGACCACACAGCGCCTGTCACTCAGTCAGCAACTCAGCAAAAGCGTGACAATAACGTTAACGAAGTGTGCCCGTGGGAAGACGAGTGAGTACTAGTTTTATTATTTTTTTTTTTTACATAATACAGTGTTCCGTCGATTATTGTCAAGAACGCGGGTTCGCGTCGCGACAAGAATCGAAGAGGAGAAATGCTTCAGACCCTCGTAAATTTTTTTTTTACCCAAACTTAGGCAACAAAAGCAGGGGAAAGGGGGCGTGCGTTTGACAGGTTCCGTTGGGGACGATGCTCTGACAAAAATTGTGTAGAACCAGTGAAACAGTGATCGACAGAATACTGTACTGGCAAATAATTACGAGCAACGGCACTGGAAGCTGGTTGTGGTAGTTATAGAAATTTCGTTTGGTTACGTTTAATACTTATGATTTATGAAGATCTTTCGGGACATTAAGTCCGATCAACAAGAATTAAGAAACGATGAATGAAAAAATTAAGATATTTTTGGACCGACCAGAAAGTGTCTATTTATATGTAAAATGCAGAGGTCAATGACAACTGTACAAAAAGATAGACAAACAATATTTTACGGTACTCTAACCTCTAAAACGTGAATTACAAATATAATAATTTCTTTACTTTTTATTTGATTCAACTGAAACTTTTACATTTTTGATCATTTATTTTGGAAAACGGGAGAAAGTTATTTCTTACTACATTCGGAAATTGTTTTGAGTTATCCTCCCCAATGTCTCCAATGAACTGATCAAAATCTCGTTGAAATCGTTTAAACATCCGCTATTTTGCTAAGGGTAAAAAAAGTGAAACGCCATATTTAAAAAAATATAGGTGACCCTGAAATCTGCGAAAACCCTCCAGCCACAAAAGAAATTATTACTGGCATGTTTTGGCCTTCTCGATACCGTACAGGTTTTGTAAATAACATGTTTTAAAAATAACAGAGATATTCCAGGTGGTCAAGGTAATTAGCCCACCCTGTATATTGTAGCCCATTAGATTTGTAAATGGATCAACTAATACTTTAACCCTATCTGTTTCAGAGAAAACTGTACAGTGGATGCACCTTATGTAAAAACCTACGCGACTTTAGGTTACTTGTAACTTGGCGTTAAAAACTAAACTTACATTTTACACGTAAACACTCAAAAGTTGAAATTTCATTTCCACTTAACTAAGTTCGAGTGCCCGAGCTACTGAGACCGCGTTATGATTTAGTTCCGTTCGTTCGTTTGATTCTTGAATGAATGTCAAGCAACCTTAATGACTTATTTATCAATGTCGCTTGATAAGAAAAAGAAACATTGATTTCGATGCGAAAATACAATTGATCAGACTTCGCTGATGGTTCGAAGATGAAATACGTACGCTGCGATGCAAACTTTCGTAACACGATACTTTACTTAATGCATCCAACACTTAACGTACGGAATATATTTCCTGCACTATGCATCGCCTTAAGAAACATAATATAAAACGTAACCTAAAAATACCCCAGTTTCAGGTACATTCCATAAAGGTATCGTTTTGTTTCACTCTCGAACGCGAACGTACTGATGAATTCTCGATTCAAAGAAACTCGAAGTCGTTCTCTGCCTCTGCGCGTAGATCAAGTGAATTGTAGAATCCGATGTACAATTTAGAATACAATGCATACAATTAGACGGTGTATTGTGAATTAAAGAGATGACGAATAGAGCTGTACTGTATGTGTTACTAAACGACGAGGTATAACCTAAGACACTTAAGGGTATTCTCTGTTCAATGGCGAAAATAAAACAGACGTGCACGTTGGGAGATAGAGGTTACGTTCGACGTTACGACGGTATTGAACAGAAAGATGAGCTCCGTGGGTGCTCGTCAAATATGAGCCCATTGACCGCTCCCGCGAATCGCAGATTTCTGTAATACCGATTCTAAACAGAAATGATCCTTTAATTAATTCTTCTAGCTGCGAAAAAGATCTTTTTAATTTTAGTACATTCGACGATCCTATTAATATCATCCGTTACGTTTCATTCAAGAAATATTTATTATACGTTTCAAAATTATTTTCGACATTACAGTTGAATCCCAATGGTGCATAATTCTACGAAACAATTGAATAATCAACTTGAACATAAAAACAACGTAAGTGGTTTTTGGATAACCGTTCATAATAGAGTCGCTTCAATGTCGTAATATATTTGATTATCGTTGTATTGTAACAGTTAGAAGTGCATTTACCCAATGCATAATAAGTATCTAAATATAATTACCGAGTCAACACTAAACTTGCTTACGGCCTGAACCTACGATGGCCTGCGTTACGATTTAAGAAAGTAGAAGGAAAAACGAAGTTGTTCCGTTTTTGATCGTAGAGACATAAATGTGTAAACTGTCTTACTCACTGTTCGTAATTATATGAAATTAAATTTTACAAAAAAAAAAAAAAAAAAAAAACGTCAGGAAA